AACCAATTTTTTTATTCTGCAAGGAAAAGAAACTAAAATAGAAGTGGCAAAGCATGGAATGTGACTAGTATCCAGTATCCAATTAACATTTCTAATCATAAGTGTATTGACAACTTCCTTGCAGGGAAAAATATAGCAATTCCAGCACTACTGAATTGGTCGGTTGGTGCGGAGTAAGTGCAAAAAGTAAAATAAACAGGGCCACAATGGAAAATTCATACAATTTCTTAAAGAAAAATGACAAACCTGTAAGCATTCATTTAATGCATCCAATATATTTGCACAGATTTCAGTATCAGGTTCCTGCACATAAATTGCAATCTCATAATTCAGAGAATATTTAAATCATTACACCTAGATCAAGGAGGCTTAAGTGAAAAACAATGAACAACCTTATGTAATGCTTCCACAAGAGCTGGAACAATGTAGTCAGACAATTGCTTTATATATGTTTCGTTACGACCTTGAGCTTGGCCTTTCTCTATAGCTAACTTTGCAGAACGCAGTAGCTCCGGCATTGCTAGGAAAAAAAGTAGATATCTCTTTATTTAAAAATGGAGTAATCTCCAACAAAATTTGTAGAGGAAGGAGAAAATAAGAACAACAAGTATTAACAATTAGTACTACCTGAAACAGCTGCCTTCCTAACTTCTTCATGGAAATAAAATTTAAGAAGTGGAACCAAAGTGGGGGCAACCTACATAAATATGACTTTAATAAGTATTCAGCCAAAGTCGGACAAAAAAAATAATCGTGACACTATCGAATACCTGATCAATCCAGGGAAAGAATCCTTCTTTCAGCTCATCAGCATAGCAACACAGCATATTGCAAGCTGTAGCTTTCTCCTCCAAGACACTAGTCTTGATTCCAATCCTTTTATCCCCAAGAGTAATTGTTTCCATACTGAAACACAAAAGCAGCTTTTAGCAAGAGAAGTAACACAGAGCTACATAACAGCACTATTTCCAGATCTTGATATCTTTTACACACTCACTTATCAAAACTACACCTCACACACACTCTAAATCAGTACATTGGTAACTTAACCAAATAATTATCAAGTATAGAAGCATATAAAATTTTAGGTACATTATATAAAATTTTAAGTTGATGTGGATCTTAAAGCCATTGTGGTTATCCATGCAGTGAAAGTTCATATGAAACCACACTAGATTCAGGTACATTATATATCAAATTTTAGGAAGGATACCAAGAAATAGGTAGGTAGTGATGCAACATTTGAGATATCGTACATGCCTGTTGGTATGGAACTTAAGCAAAAAAGGAAATGAGAATAAGTTTCAGACCTATCATCATCAGAGTCATCAATATCATTGTCGTCATCTGCAGATGTGATGGTTACATCTGGCTTAAGTTGAGCAGACTGAAGCAAAGGAGGCATTACAACACTCATATATGGGAGGAAATCTTGTCCTAAGCACTTGCAGAGTCTAGCCCAGGCCTACAACATTGTAGATAAATTTTTATTGCAAATAATAAGTCTTTCTAAAGTAGTTTTAGTGCAATTATAAGATAGGGCATACTTGTAACATGTAACTTGTAGTTGGATCATCCGTCTCCATGTGAGATCCTTGCAAAGCCATCAGCACTTCCATGACCTTTAGAGAAACAGTAACCAGCAATCTGTGATTAGAGAAATTGGCAGCAGCATTTTTCTATTTGGTTTTTAGATTAGCCAAAATGCACAGGTTGAAAGACTCAATTTTTAAATTCCCAACTATAAGCAGAAAAGAGCTGAAGCATTTAACTTGAGCATAGGAGAGTGTAGAAAAGGAAAAATAAAGAAGTCAATTTCTGAATTTTGACAAAATAAAAATTCTATTTGGGGGAGTAAGGTAGGAAATGGTTCAAAATAGCAAAATATAAGTCTGCATGAACAAGCACCTTAAAAAATAACATGAAACCAATCATTCATCAAATTGCCATTCATATCCCAAGTCCAATAAAGTAAACCTAGTTTCATATGTATAATGACTTACTTGCTTAGCGTCTTCCCTGAATTTCTCTTTTCCAACTGCCATTCCAACCAAACTAATACACTCCATCGATTTGGCACGAAGCATGCGATTAGACTTATCAGTGGCATTCACCAAGATAGCTTTCAGGTAAGGCATAACTGCATCATAATATTTTTGAAAATGCTCCTACGCAATTACCACCAAAGTTAATCATCCATAAAAAATAACAAAAACTTCACCTATAATATTGCATTATATAGTACAATACCTGAGATGAATCAGCAACGGATGCCAAAGCAGTCAAGGCACCCTCTTGCACCATTTGTTTTCCGTTCTGCATGAGATGTGATAAATCAGGCACAAGTAAAAAAATATACTAGTTCAAAAGCATGAAATTAAGTAAGGTTTTACATCATGAATTTGGTGTTTGTATATATAATATATATACACATAATCTTGTGAAGCATTACCTGCAGAAGTACAAGCAATTTGCTCACTACTCCATCCAAATACGGTGTTAAAATATCCGGAGTGCAATTCTCACTGAAATTCAGCACAGCCGAAGCAGCATGTGCCTGCAGGTAACAAATTACATAAAAGGAAGCAATAAATAGATAATCTTGCATGTGTAATTACATGAACTCGATAATGAGCTGAATAAAGCACATTCCACAATGATCACTTTTCTCCAAATTCAGAAAATAAAGAACCTCATATGGAGGATGGCATGCAACTATAGACACCGATGGTAGCTCACAAGTCACAACAAAAGCCCAACGATTAGTTTTCTACTGTACTTTTCAAAAAGTTCATACTTAAATTCGACTAGAAACATACAGTCAAGCAGGTATGACTTTTGAGTGGACTCATTCAAACATCCCATCAACCAGAGACAAAAAGTGAACTAAATAAATTAGGGTTCTCCTGAAGTCAAGGACATAAGATGAACTAGCAACTTAAAACATTGATTTAAGAACACACACTAGAATGCTCTACAGTGCACAACTTGTAAAGAATCCTTAAGATGAGAAAGTGTCAGTCGAAATTAGTATCATGGTCACCCTCTAATACATTAAAAAACTGACCGGCATTGCAAGATACAAATCCATCCCATTCAAATAATGAAACTGAATATCACGTCAATCGCTTAGAAACAGGACCAGATGCCACGATCAGGTACTAACCTGAACACGAGGGTTCTGAAAATCATCCATAGCTCCAGCCAATGCTGGGAGCACACTTTGGTGATATTGAACTTGCAGATCTGGGCCCAAATCAGTAGACAACTGCCCAATTGCATTAATCGCTGCCCACCTTACACGAGGATGTGGATCTTGAAAAGAGTTCAAGACCATTGCTACCACTTGCTCCAAATTTTTAATCATTACCTGCAAAAAAAAAATGAAAGGAACAGATTAACGGTCATCATTAATAATAAGGTAAATGGAAATTCATTTAACTAGAAAGCTGCAAAAAAAGTACTTTATAGCTGTACTATTCACTTATTTGTGGATACAGAAGTGCCCCCTCAGAAACTGCATAGTAGGATTATACAATCGCTTATGTGAAACATCTTACATCAGTGTGTTATATCTGGTATGAAAGCTTTTCATTTATTTTGTGCAAGTGTGAATGTGACAATCAAACCGTACAAACATTGAATAATTTCAAACGAATGTTACTCATCACATCTAAGATGTTAGATATTCGAGTTCACATAATAGCACATTCAACACATGTCAAAAACCTAGGCTCTTTTATTACCAAAACTCAACTCAATTACTCCAACAGAAAGGGCATGTTTTTTTTTTAATACATACAATATTATCTACACTAAGGGGTGGGGAATTACACTATGTGGTTAAAGGCGGAACCATGCAAAATTGGAAAGGCAACAATTCCAAGCATAATATCACTAACTAATGACAATTAGTTAACCTGGATATACAATTTCACAAACAATGCACAACAATTAAGGTAAAAAATCGATACCTTAGCACAACCCTCAGCAATCTGAGCAAGGGCAATCAATGCAGCATGGTGCTTCTGCCACTCAGGGGCAACCAAATATGCAGGCAATTGCTCAGAAGCTACTGGAACTATGGTATTCCCACCAAGGGAAATCGAAAGCCGATCCAAACACTCTTGACCAACACTGTAATTAGTGGTCTCACCGGCATCCTCATCTTCACTCTCTGCCGCATGCCATGCCGGTTCGTCCTCAATATCCAGAAGCATTTTCATTAAAATGGCAAACAATCGGCTTATAAACTGCGGCAACTTCCTCATCATGCCAGGAGCACGCTCTCTGGCCTCAGCCAGAGTGATGACGAACTCAATGGCCAAGTGCCTTGTTGATTCTTCCAAGGAATCGGCCTCAGCAATCTGTAACATTGCGCCAACGACTTCCACAATCTGCCGCCTTAGGAACCTCGGCTCAGTCCCAGCCAATTCAATCAACAATTCAAGAGCGTCCTGCGCGGTGGCTTCGTTCCCGTTGTTCAGAGCCTCCATCAACGTCTTCATCATCGCCGGCAACAGGTCCTGAAACCTATCCCTATCCGCAGAGCTGGTCAAACACTGAATGAAATTGATGACGGCGTTCAAAGCCGCGATCTTCACGTCGGGGCTCGGCGAATTCCCCAGGCTATGCAAGAACACGGCGTGCAATTCTTTTATGTGCGGCACCATGATGTCGCCGATGTACTGCGATAACTGAGCGAATATCAAGAACGCCGCTTCTTGAAGCTTTGGCGAATCAGACGAGACGCACTGGAACATAAACGGCAGCAGCTCCGGCCATCCGTTATCGGGTAAAATCCCAGAGGCGAGCTCGGAAATCGTATCGCAGAGCTTCTTGGAGATGGATTTCGTGCCCTCCTGCTGAATACACGTCAGCAGAATCGTCTTCAGCGTTGATTGGGTCGTCGGATTCAATCGGGGCCAGAGATACGAGTCGTTGCGGGTGAGCTGCTTGCGGAGGAGAATCGCGGACATGGCGCGGGCCTCGGCGGCGGGGGAGAACTGGATGAGGTGGGCGAGCTTGAGGGAGAGGGAGTCGGGATCGGTCTGCTTGCAGAGGTTGAAGAGGAGCTCCGCCTGGGAGCGCTGATCGTTGGCGGAAGACATGAGGTGGGAGATCAGGGTTTGGAAAGGGGCCGGGTCGGGACCGAGAATCGTCGCCAGTTGGGCTTGCTGTAACTGAGTCGACTCGGCCATCGCAACCAGCTGCGGTTGTTTAGGGTTTTTGCCTGCCTTGGCTGTAGATTGGTGTCAGTGATGAGCCCGCGAAGAGAAGATGTCTTTTTTCTCTCTCCTCACTTTCGCTCTCTAGACTTTTTGAATCAAACCAAAAGTGGGGAATTTTGGGGAGTTTTGGAGTGCGGAAGGAGCTTTTTATGGAGACTAGTCGTCCCTCTCCCCACTCTCACGGTCTTTGCAATTTCATGGTGTGAATACAAATGTAAACGCGTGAAAACTCAACAGAGAGTTGGGTAGCACTATTTGCTTTTACACTCTCATCGCTTGTTATATATGAGTTGAGTTCACTTGTTGTGTTCATCTGCAACCAATTGGGGAATATATGTTGTGCTAGGATAGCACCAAACCTTTTAGAACCAACTCTTTGTAACCCACAGAAAATATATCAAATGAAATGCAAGAACAATATAGAAAAGACACCAAGATTTTAACGAGGTTCCTCCACAGTCAGTGTAACTGGAGTACGTCATTGGAGCAGTAGGAGCTCACCCAATAATCCACTATCAACCAAATGGGAGTTTACAAAGTGTTGGCAATCTCACAACCCAAAAGCCCAATACACCCAATAGCTCACACACACCAAAGAAACAAATAGAGAAAGAAATATAATGAATAATTTCTTCTCTATACATATAGCTCAAAACTATTACAACAACAATTACTTTAGTGGATGATTACTAACCAATTGAAGCAGCAACTTGTTCTTCTTTTTGAGCTCTCTGCAAGACTGCAACTCTGAATTTTTCTCTCTATTTTTCTCCTCTAAAACAAAAGGGCAGCAGCTCTCTTCTCTCTCTCTCTCTACCACACAACCGAATGGAAGAAAGCAACCAAACCCTCCATTATTAAGGAGCCAAAACTCACGGGTGGTAAAAAAAAAAAACAACCCATATTTTCTTCCCCAAAACAAGGAAATATGTTGTCCACTTTTGGTTTGTTTATTCTAAAGTATATGGCCACTTAGCCACATAATCCAACAATATACACACTGATTTCTCCAATGGATACCTTGTATATCATCAATCCCCTCAAATTTTCTCACTGTTTTCTCATTTTGTTTTTGGCATCTACGTACCTACCCACTGCTATGATCTGCTTGGGTGATATCGGAGTTCCGAGCACTACTACTGTGAAATCATTATGCATTGAGGAAGAAAGGCGAGCACTTGTCAACTTTAAACAACATCTTGTTTGATCCTTCTGGTAGGCTTTCTTCTTGGGTGGGACATGAGTGCTGTCGATGGGAAGGACTTTCTTGCGGCAACAGCACTGGTCGTGTTGTCAAGATGAACCTCCGCAATCCATATCCAAATTCAAATTCTTCGTCTTATGAAAAGTCTTTCTTGGGAGGTAAGATAATCATTCTTTGCTTAGCTTCAAATATTTAAAATTCTTGGACCTAAGCTATAATGATTTTCAAGGCATTCCCATCCCAAAGTTCTTTGGGGAGCTTAAAAGTTGCAATATCTCAATCTCTCCCTTGCATCATTTGGGGGAGAAATTCCCCCCCTCTCTTGGTAACCTATCAAGCCTGAGTTTTCTTGATCTCGGGTTGAATTTTGACTTATCTTCAAGAAACTTGAATTGGCTGTCTCGCCTCTCTTCTCTAAAATACCTTGATCTTGGAGAGGCCGATCTTAGCACAACAAGAGTCAATTGGGTGTATGTTGTTAATAGCTTCCTTCACTATCAGAGTTACACTTATCTTCGTGCCAAATTGAAAGCATTCCACTCATCTCTTTGCAACACTTTAATTTGACCTCACTTTTCGTCCTTGATTTGTCAAATAATTATATGTTTAGTTCTGCATTTCCCAGTTGGTTTTTTAATCTTACCAACCTCATAACACTTCATCTATCCAAGAATAATTTCAGTGGTTCTTTTCCAAATGAATTTGCAAGTCTCAAATCTCTTCAGGACCTTGATTTATCTGAAACAGGCTTAAAAGGTCAAATTCCTAAAGTCATTGGAAATTTTTGCAAGCTGAAGTTCTTAAGTCTTTCAGGAAACAAATTTAATGGGGGGATCGAAGAATTTTGGAGGAGTTTCTCAAATTGTCCAAATAATACATTAGAGTCATTAGATTTGTCTTACTGTGGGATGCAAAGCCAAATGCCGTCCTCCTTAGGAATGTTTAAAAGTTTGCAGAATCTCAACCTTAGGTACAAATAATTTTTGGGGCTCAATTCCAGATTCCATCGGAAAACTTGTCCTCCTTGAAAACATTGGACCTCTTTGATAATAATATGAACGGCTCCATTCCAGAAAGTCTTGGCCAACTATCTCAGCTAGTTTCCCTAAATCTGTTTGGCAATTCGTGGGAAAGTATTCTAACAGAAGCCCATTTCAGAAACCTTATGAGATTACAAGATTATCAAGTAGGAAACCCAGCTCGATCCAAGTCCCTTCATTTTTGACATGGCTTATGATTGGATTCCTCCTTTCAAGCTCCGCACACTTAGGATCATAAATTGTCGGGTAGGTCCTGGTTTTGGGATGTGGCTTCAATCTCAAACTGAATTGATCGACGCCACTCTTAGTGGTAATGGAATCTCGGATTCCATACCAAGGGAATGGTTGTTGCAGATATCTTCCCAACTCATCCAACTAGACTTGTCTAATAACGAATTTCGTGGAAGCCTTCCATTGCATTTGAAATTCCCAAATTTAAATTCTATTGATTTGAGTCATAATATATTGGAGGGCTTACTCCCGCTTTGGTCCACTATTGCCACTTCCCTTATTATTGAAAACAATCTATTTTTCGGGCCAATTCCCTCCAATATTGACCAGTTGATGCCGGATTTGCAAGTATTGTTTCTTTCTGAGAATAATTTGAACGGCACAATTCCTCCCTCTGTTTGCAACATGCTTAACTTGAGAATCTTGTCTCTAAGGAGCAATCAATTTTCCGGAGAATTCTCTCATGCATGGAGTGTGGGGAGCAATATGGTGTTTCTAGATGTTGGTCAAAACAATCTCTCTGGTAATATTCCAACTTCATTGGGGGTATTAAGTTCACTGGAAGTATTAAAGCTCAACAACAACAATTTTGGAGGTGAAATTCCCGATTCCTTACAAAATTGTTCTAGATTGGCGAGCATTGATCTTGGAAACAACAGGTTATCTGGGGAAATACCACTATGGATAGGAGGATCCAGTGTATCCATGTTGTATATGCTACGATTACGGTCCAACTATTTTAGTGGACATATTTCCTAACAACTGTGCAATCTTCAGCAACTTCACATTCTTGACCTTAGTCGCAACAACTTTTCTGGTACTATTCCCAAGTGTTTGAATAATTTGACTTTGCTAGTGAAAGATTCAAAAAGGGTCAAAAATTCAAATAGTGTTGCTGCTTATTATGATGAGCAAGCCACATTGACACTAAAAGGAGAAGAACTTGTGTACAACACGACTTTAGATCTTGTAAAGAGCATTGATCTTTCATCAAATAATTTACAAGGTGAAATCCCTGAAGAAATAAGCAGCCTCATTCTATTGGGCACCTTGAATTTGTCTGTGAATCAATTGATTGGAAGGATCCCTTCCAAGATTGGAAACTTGCATTGGTTCGAAACTCTTGATCTCTCACACAACCACCTCACGGGACAAATTCCTCAAAGCTTGTCATCTTTAACCTCTTTGTCCCACTTGAACTTGTCTTATAACAACTTGTCCGGAAGAATTCCTTCTGGAAACCAGCTTCAAACGCTCAATGATTCGTTGATTTATATAGACAATCCATCACTGTGCGGAGTTCCTCTTTCAACTAAGTGCCCTGGAGATAAAAATTTTACTATTGAGGATGCAAATGACAAGAATGAAGATAGAAATGATGATATGTTGTGGTTTTATGTCAGCGTGGTACTTGGATTCATCGTAGGTTTTTGGGGAGTTTGCGGTACATTGATCTTAAAGACAGCGTGAAAGTATATGCCTATTTTCAGTTCTTTAACAACATCAATGATAAGGTAGAAGGTAGCACTAGCAATTGCATTGATAGTGGCTCGTTCCAAAAGGATTTTTCTTGAGTTTGTTACTACTCTTTATATGTGATGTTTTTACGTATCTACTCTGTGTTTTCGGTACTTGCAACTTATGTAAGAAATAAAGGAATTCTATCTTTCAATAGATGTTTCCACAAGCAACTTATGTATTCTGATTTTCTCATGTGTAAAAACCTGGAATTAATAAAAGCTAGTGTTTCAAATTTCTACTTATCAATCGTATAATACAAAATATATACGCGACAGCCATGCATCCATTCAATGTTGCAAACTTGCAATGAACAAAGGAACACTTGTTCATAAAGTACATAACACTCGCACAAAAGAAATCAGTTGTACTCATCGATCGATCAAATAACGGTTCTTTATGCATCTTCGAGCAACTCCTGTGCCGACACTCTTTCTTCGGGTAACTGTGCCTTTTGTTTAGTTTGAAATGGTCCTCGCTTCCTTCAGGCTCTACAGTCCTCGCTTCCTTCAGGCTCTACAATACAATCCAATGCATTGAACACTTTGAACAAGGAAATGTACGAGTTCACTGAGTGCCTACCAGAGAGTTGAGAAATGCCTAGTAATAATTAACACTACTTTCATTCACTACTTCTCATGGAGTAAATGTTGTCAACAATAGCTGCTAGACATTATTGGTATAGACAATAAACTTGTAATTATTCCTCTAGCTAGCCATCATTACTTTACTTTATAACTAGCCATAATTATTTTACTTTACAGCTAGCCATCATTACTTTGCTTTGCTTTTCTCCTTATTTTCCTCTTTGGTGTTTTCCTCATGTAATCATCATTTGGCTTGTCCACTTGTTAGGACTAGTGTAGTTTTTGACCCTCTATAAGAGAGGACTTCCCTCTTGTAAACAAATAATAATGAGGTTTATTACAATTTCTGAGATGGTATCAGAGCAGTCGATCATGACTGACTCTTGAACCTCAAAAACAGAAAAAAGCTTCCGCCATATCATATCTCAATCATCATATCAGTTTTATTTTTATTTCAACTTCATTGATCTTAAGCCTATACAATGGCTAGTGATGATGAAGTATCAGACCC